CCCCATGCTTGCCATGGGACGAGTAATTTTGAATATTTAACATATTTAAGTTTAAATGATAAACGTATGCTGCGTGGAGAATTTGTCGAGATGATATCTGTTGTTTAGCTTTTGGTGGATTAACATGACCACATTGTTTCATGCTTGTAGGACCATATGACCTCTTCTCGTGATTCAAGGAGAATGATTTAAACTTTAGATCTTGTGTTGTTATGGAGGATTATTTACGGTGTGGAATTGCTGGACATTAATAGATAAAAAATGTTCATAGTTTCGTTACCTGTGCAAAATGTTGATTTTCTTGGCAGTGATGGAGCTCTATAAATGAAATTCTACATGTCCATGTTGACAGCAAAATAATAAAATGAGAATACATTTTGGACATGAAGAGATTCAAAATGGTTGTCGCTTTGAATTAGATTTTAGCATAAGAATGTTGTGTAGCACTGTAATGTTTTATTTTCTTGAGTATGTTGTGTATGTAGTTAATGGTTGAGATATTACAACTGTAATTCAGGCTTCAGGTAAAATACAACTCAGATTTTTCAAATGTCCATTCATATTTATTGTATGAAGAGCTCCTTGACCCCGGGAAGCTTCTTCGCCGCGCCGAAGTATCGGTAACCGGGGCCACACCCCCTCAGAGTTGAAGAAAGTAGAAGAGGGCACAAGGAATGACGGAGAGGTAACAATCCATGAGAGTGAGAATTGGAATGGGTTTGGAGGAATGAGAGAGAAAGAGAAGTTGAAGAGAGAGAGGTGACACTGGAGAAAAGCTGATAAACTCTGACAAAAAAAAAATTGTGTCAGTCTCCCGTTAGCCACGTCAGCACATTTTTAACGGTGTTAGTTTTCGAGGACTAAAACCAAAGTTTCGAAAAGAATGAGGATCAAATTGTACCTTATTTTGAAGGAGGGACGAAAACCAGAAACGGCCAATAGTTTAGGGACTAAAAACATATTTAACCTTTTTTTTTACTTGAAAGTACAGCAGTGAGAAGAAAAAGAAAGAAGCGTAAATATTATGGGCGAATGTGTGAGAATGAGGCCCAAACTTACAAATCTTTTTAGTTTCATCTTTCTACACCCTCAATTTTTTTAAACACCTACTGTACATTTTGGATTGGACATTTTCTTAAAGTGAATTGTTTCGACATGCATCGAATATGCCACAAGGAAACTATGGAGTACAGGAAGAAATATTCAATTTTTCCATCTTAACTTTATTTTCTTGAATATAATTTCAATAAAAATAACCATATCGCAATTATATATATGTAAAAGAAAGTGATATATATGAATAAACATAACGTGCATTATTAGTTCGATACTAGGTTAAGAAAAGAGAGAAAAAAAAGGTAAGAATTAGCCTAAGTTGTGTTCGTTAATGTAATTGTTTCATTTAAAAACACACTTCTTAAATTTTGAGCAAAGCGTATTTTTCCAACTCTTAAATCTAAATATTCAATAATAAATTAACATATTTTAGCTTTCAATTTATTTTAAAAAGTAGTGTCCGATTAAAAATAGAAAGCTATCTTAATCATACAATACAGGCCGAGACATGCTCCTCCCAGTGTATGAATTTTTGCTTCGAAAAAATAGTTAATGTAGCCAAACATACTAACATATCCTCGTAAATATAAATTTTTTATGATTTAATATCAATATACATACCTCAAACCTTTAAAATGTAAACAAGACATTTTAAAAAATAAGGTAGGTAAATTGATTTTATCTTATTGGCAAAATTGATTCAGATGACCACTTTTTTCACATATTAAAAAATCAAATTAGTACATTAGATCGTTAACGATAAAAGATAAGATTGAGTAATTAATATTATAAAAAAAATAAAATAGAATCAGTATACAAATAGTCATCTCTTGATAGACAGATATATTTTTATTGAATACATTTTCTCTCACTTTTAATGATTTCAGTTTAATAATGTTTTTAGAGATAAGATAATGTAATATTTGGTCATAACATCCTGTGAACCACAAGTATCTTTAATAATTGAGAATCCAATAGTTGATACAGTATTCCTTAAACTATTTTATTTTGATTGAGATTTTTGTAACAGTTAAAGTAATTTACAGCATTGCAATGCACACTGAAAAGAAAATCCTTGGACGGCGATTTGAATCGAAAGAAAAACAAAACACAAAGCAGCTGGGGATGAGAGTGATGTGGGCCATGTCGTTATTATAAACATTGGAACACGTGTTAAACAGACAGGGCACGATAACGTTGGACAAAAGTAATAAACAGTAGAAAAATAAAAAGAAATAAAACGAGAAAGGAATGAAGGACAAGGAAGGTTCTGGAAAGTGGACAAAGCAACGGTTGAAAGCCATGTTCGGATGAATCAGCGGCTGATTACAGCTCCAACCAAGTAAACCATGGCCATCCTCTTCTAGCGTCTTCTTTTCTCACTCCTATTTCTCGTGGGCCCCACCTATTTTTTTATTTTTTTCCTTTTCCAATTATTTCCATTTCATTCTCGAACCCACGAACGCCCCCTTTTTTCTTTCTTCCTCCCCATCAATTTACTCCCATCCGAAACTTCTAGAAACAACAAGAACCTACCATCTCTCTCGCTTTCTCTCTCAACCGTGAAATTTTCCGCTTCCGGCGGTCTTTCTCCTACTCTGTTGGCCGCTGAATATTGTTTTCAATATTACACAGATCAAATCAAGGTAACCAAATAATATCTCGATAATAATTATTCATTCATTAATATTATTTTCTTTCACCTGGATAATATCAAGAGGAATCGGGTTTGGATAAGGTTAGATAGGTTCCAGTTCTAGACTTTCTCGTAGATGTATGTAGTTTACCTTGTCCAGATAACTGTGTAGTTGGTAAGTAGTAAATTGATGCATTTAGAACAACTAGTTTATTTTAGAAGCCGGTTATGAGCTTAGCAGAGAAGTGATTAGGGAGCTTAGCCAGGTTTCAGTTCCAGATCTGGTAGCGGAGCGGATGATGACGCCATTACCGGTGGAGCAAACCGGTGAATCAGCGCCGGCGGAGTCACAGAGATCTATTCCGACGCCGTTTCTGACGAAGACGTACCAGCTCGTGGATGATCCCTCCGCGGATGACCTAATTTCCTGGAACGAAGATGGCACGAGTTTCATCGTTTGGCGGCCTGCGGAATTCGCACGTGATTTGCTTCCGAAGTACTTCAAACACAACAATTTTTCCAGTTTTGTCCGTCAGCTAAACACCTATGTAACCACTCCGCGCGAGCTCGTTTTATTATTCTCTATTATCGAATATTTTAAAGATAAATTACCGGTCTTTGTGTGTTGTTATGTGCAGGGATTTCGGAAGGTTGTCCCTGACCGTTGGGAATTCGCTAACGACTGTTTCCGGCGAGGTGAGAGAACTCTGCTCAGGGACATACAACGCCGGAAAATATTACCGGTGCCACCAACTGCGCAACCTGCAGTGGCCACAGCCAATACTGTGACGGTTGCTGTGGCGGCACCGGCGATCAGAACGGTGTCTCCGACGACTTCCGGCGACGAACAGGTACTATCCTCGAACTCATCTCCGATTGCTGGAAATAATAATAATACAGTGCACCGCACCACGAGTTGCACCACTACGCCCGAGCTGTTAGAAGAAAATGAAAGGCTTAGAAAAGAGAACATGCAACTGAATCACGAGTTGAGTCAATTGAAGAGTTTGTGTAATAACATACTCGCTTTGATGACCAATTACGCTTCTGGTTTTAGCCGTCAGCAGTTAGAATCGTCCACTAGTGCTGTGAGGACCGTGCCGGTGCCGGAAGGGAAGGCTCTGGAGCTTTTGCCTGCGAGGCATGTTTCGTCAGCTGATGACGCCATGCATGGTGGCGCTGCCGGCTTAACGCCGTGTACGAATGCGAATGCGAATGCAGCGGAGGCAGAGGTTCCCAAGCTGTTTGGGGTTTCTATTGGGTTGAAACGGTGTAGGACAGAGTGCGAGGCCGAACCGGAGGGAGAAGAACAGAATCAAATGCAAACGCGAGCTGAGGCACAAACACAGACACAGTCCTCTCAAGAACCAGATGGCGGGCCAGATGTGAAATCTGAACCGCTTGATGGGGATGAGTCGGATGATCAGGATCCTCGGTGGCTGGAGCTTGGGAAATAATGCTCCTTCCTTCCTAATCTCTGCTATTTTGGTAAAATGACATGAGGCACGTGACTTGGGTGGCCACATTGTTCACATTAGAGACATACATTAAGGTAGCGCTACCATTGGGCCGGCACGTGATTTGACCTTGTTTGTTGTGGAAGCTGCTCCACATGGAGTCAATAGTTTCAAAGTCAACTTCCTTGAGCACCAAACTTCTTTATCTTGAGAAATAAATGTTCTTTGAGCCGTTATTGTAAATCTTTAATGAACATTTGTAAAACCTAATGGCAGTCCCCTAAGCATTCACGTCTCCTTTTTTCTTTTTTAAGAAAATTTTATGCGATAGAGCACCATATGTATATACATATAATATAAAAAAATTCGAATTTATTCATGTATTGTGTATTGTGATGTTCTATCATTAGGACTGGATTGTAAACTTTGTAATTATGGAATGTTAGGTAGTCTTTCAAATTGCTTTTTAGCGGAGGAGTGTTGTTGTCTCTCATAAGTCCAATTATATTGTATGTTAATTAAATATCACACTTTTAGTTAAAGTTTGTTGAAATATTTATGTATTATTGTTGGATTTGACAATTGGGAATAAGATTCAATTACAATATATCATTAATTGATGAGTCTTAAGAAGAATACCAAACATAAATACACTTTATCATATCTATATTTCCTTTCCTCCATTAATGGTTATTTTAACTTTCTGATTTAAAAGATTTGTTCGTGGTAACCTGACTCACTTAAGACTTATAAAGACTTTATAAAAATGGAATACAATATTTTATTTATATGTTAAAGATTTGTTCGTTGTAATGTGATTGCAAAATTTATTTACAAGAATTTTCCACACATTTTTGTGAAGTGAGAAGTTGTGAGAAAATTACTACATTAATTTATAATATTTTAAAATTGAATTGTCAGTTAAAAAATGCAAGTACGCGATTTAATAATTGATTAGAAAAATAGTATTTAAGAGTTTAGTGAATAATGAAACTAACACTTTTTATAGGAAAAAATATATTTTTGCTGTTTGAAATGTTTAGAAACTCTTGATCACTCTGTAATTGAAACAATCTGTACAAACTTCTACCATGAAACATTGACGGATGTTGTGCACATTACCTCTTTTATATCACGTCTTCAATCCAAAAGGGGGTGTTGCTCCCTCCACCACCACACCTTTCTCCCTCTACCTCCCATTTACTATTTTATCCCTAAGTAAAATTTTTTTTAGAGTTATTTTTAAATTTTTTCCATTCACAACCTATTCCACTAATAACTTATTCCAGTCCTTCATATATGAGTAAAATATTTTTCTTTTATTTTAACATTATATTTCTTCCTCTCTTTCTTTTGTCGGTGTGAGATACTACAAGTTGTAAAGGTTGATGGTGGTGGAAAGAATTATCAAGCAGTCTCCCTCTCGTGGTGCAGTGTCGCTCTCGTGGTGCAATGTGTGGAGTGGTGCAGTGCGTGTGTTACTTCCTCAAGGTGCGTATTCGAATAAACCTTCAAATAAAACCCTAAAATAAAAAATGTAACCTTTAAACAGAGGTGACATCCTTCAACGGATGTCAACATCCTTGGATGTCAACATCCGTTTAAGAAAAAAACGAATGTCAACATCCGTTTAAGGAAAAAACGAATGTCAACATCCGTTTAAGGAAAAAACGGCCGTTTTTTCCTTAAACGGATATTGACATCCATTGAAGGATGTCAGCTACGTTTTTAATTTTAGGGTTTGTTTTATTAGTTTATTTTTTATTTTAGAAATATTTTAATAATTTAATTTAAATTTTTTGATTTATTATTTTTGAATATATTTTTAATGTATTTTAATAATGTAAGAAAAATGAAGAAGAAAGAAACATATGAGGAGAAGTGAAATGAAGAAGACAAATGGAGTTGTAGAGTAAAACTGAAGACAAATTGTTAAACGGAATTGAGAGATGGAAAGATTGAGTGCAGAGAGTAAAGTAGGAGAACTAGGTTTGAAATAAATTAAAATAGTATAAGTAAAAAAATTTAATTTGAAGATATAATTGGAATTAAAAAAAATTGGGGAGGTGGAGGGAGAAAGGTGTGGTGATGGAGGGAGCAACACCCATCCAAAAGCTTGACATGATAATTGGGCCCTGATGTATTTCTTGCACAATAGCTTGATTCCGGGAAACTTCTATTAGCACCCCCAGATACTTTTTCTCTCAATCTCTTGAGGATATTAAAAAGTTCTAAAATATTCCAACTTCATTTCGAAATGGATTTTCAAATTACCACCGTTATTTTATGCCAAATCAGCACGGATTAACATGACTTAACTTTCAGTCCAGTGGACGAGTCAACTTTTAATTTGAGTCAGTTCAAATAAGTCAGGCTAAATTTATAGTCAGCTTAGATTAGATATTGAGATGTTTTGGTGTCATCCGAAACTCTATATGAATCAACTTTTTAAATCTATGAATATCTGTGAAATTTTAATTTTTTATTTTTTGAATAAATTTCAAATTAATTATTTTAATTATTTGAAACAGTTTTTTTTTTAAATTAATTTCATTTTTTTAATTCTCTCGTCTAAATTAGTCCTTTTACTTCAAAAAATTTTAAATTTCTTAAATAAATAAATAAATTATTCTCTTTAATTATATAATCCAAATACAATGTATATACTAAAAACCTCAACAACATCGGAAACTAATTTCATAATGATAATAAAAAATCTTAATTAACAATGATTAAAAAAAATAGTTTTACTATTGGTTTCTTGAGAAAAGAAAATTGACGTACATTTTTATTGTTGAAAAGTAATTTTGAAGTATATTTTAAAGAAAAATTATTTTCAATATATATATATTATTGGTTGAAAAATAATATCAAGATAGTTCGCATCAAATTGTTTTCTAAAAAGATAATGATATTTTGATAATATTTTAACATCATTTACGTGTCATTATGTGATTGGTCTAAAATTATTTCACAATCAATAATAATAATCATAAACACGAATATGAACTAATCATAAAATGACACATAAATGATATTAAAATGTTGTGAGAATGTCATTATTTTTTCTAAAATTACTAAAAAATAGTAGTTATATTAGTGGCACGTAATACTAATATTATAATATTGAATATCGACATTAAATTAAAAACTTTTATTAGTATCTTTTGAAAATAATAATGTCCATATGTAGATAGTCTAATGATATTTTGGATTGAGATAAAGTAGGAGGGAAGAATCATAATTTATAAAAAAAGATTTTAAAAAAATCGTAATTTCACTTAATATATATATTTTTTAAATATGAAATTCTCACCGTTTAAATATATTTATTATATTATCAAAAATAATTTTCATAAATTTTTAATTGTTGTAAAATTTCTTATCTAAATAACTTATTTCTATTATAAAATATTTTATGTTATCTAAAATCTTGTCCAAGTACACTCTAACTAAAAAGAGTATCTTTCGAAATATATATAATTTTTAAAATAAATATAAGACCTGTTGGTTGCTAATTTTGATCGCGAAACATTTTTAATTAATAATTATTTAAACAATACCATATTTTAGCTTAGTATAATTTTAAGATTAAAAGATTAAATGTACTTTTATTTGATGATAAAAGTTTGGTTACACTACACTTTAAAATAATATGTTTAATTAATTAAATAAAGTCATTTTTTTTTAATATAATTTTAAAATAAGCAGTGAAATTAATTTATGCCTTATATTTGACACAAAAAACGAACTAACGAGAAAGCTTTGAAAAAACCAGAAGAAAAGCTTTTTCGTTTCTTCTTCTTCTTCTTCTCTTCTGTTCGATTATGGAGGAAGAAAGCACTTCAGTGGAATCCAACACTGGAAACGAGCGCATAAAGCTCAACGTGGGTGGAAAGTACTTCGAGACAACGCTATCCACGCTCCGCTCCGGCGGCCCCGACTCTCTCCTCTTCGCCCTCTCGAACCGGCGCTCGGCCGACCCGAACCCGGTTTTCATCGACCGTGACCCGGAGATCTTCTCTGTCCTCCTTTCTCTTCTCCGCACCTCTCACCTTCCCTCCACTGCGCGCCGCTTCTCTAAACAAGAGCTCGCCGACGAGGCCCTCTTCTACGGCATCGACGCGCACCTACGTGCCGCCACCGCGCCACCTCCGTTCTCCGGTATCGACGCCGCTCTCGCTTCCTCAATCCGCCCAGCCTCAGAGGGCCTCCCCTCCTCCTTCGTGGCCGCTGATTCCGGCGCTGTCTGGATTGCCCATGGTGGCCAGATCTCTGGCTACGACTCAACCCTCACTCACTCCGGCACTGTCCGCACCCACCTCGATGAAATCGACTCCATCTGCCGTGTTTGGCCCGAGATTGCCGCTATCGGGTCCATGTCCGACCCCGGCCTCCACTTCTACAACTTCTCCGGCAGCCGCCACGTCGGATCGGTCCACTGGACAGATCCTCTCGATCCACGAATCTTCAAGGCGCATGTCAACGCGATAACCGCTTCAGAGAACTCCGTTTTCGCTTCATTCGATTGCCCTCACAGAGAGAATTGCATCCTCGAAGTGGATAAGTCGAACCTGCGGACTGTGAATCAGTTTGCTCGACAGTCTGGGAACCAGGCGAAGAATATGGTTCCCGCGAAGCTGACGTGGATTCCCGCGACCGGAGTTCTCGTCGGTAGCGCGGTGACCGGTGGTGCTTTTGGTTTCTCCGGCTATGTCCGAATTTGGGACCCGAGGTCAGGGGAGGTGGTTTGGGAGACGAACGAGCCTGGTGGTTCGGGACGGAGCAGCCGATTCGGGGATTCGTTTGCTGACGTGGAGGCTGACGTTGAGGGATTGTTGCTGTTCAAGTTGTGTTCTAAGTCGGGGGATTTGGCTATGGCGGATATGCGGTTTTTAAAGGATGATCCTTGGATTTATCTGAAAGAGAAGAACGCTAGTTTGGTGAGTTGTGGTGAAGTGAGGAATAGTGTGGTGCATTGTTACAAGGGGCAAGTGTTTGTGTCCAGAGAAGGTGGGTTGGAGGTTTGGTCAAGGGTGGAACAAAGGGAAAATGTTGTTGTAAGAAGTGAGAATGAGAGTGATGCTGAAGGGTTTTATAGGAGGAATTTTGTGGATAAAAGAGAGGATTCGGATAGAGGGATTATTAAGAAGATTGAAGGTGGTGGAGATAGGTTGTTTGTTAGTAGAGAAGATGTTGAGGGGATTGAAGTTTGGGAGAGCTCTCGTTTCTCTGGAGCCATTTCTGTTTTGTGATCAGGGATAGACAGTTTCTTACTTAGGTAGGATTTCCTCACGAAAAAAAAAAAAACTATGGAATTGGTTGGAGCTTAATTATTGTCAGCTTTAAATGAATAACGTGATTTATTTTCTAAGCAATGAATAATCACAATTTGATGCACCTTTTATTGTCATATTTGCTTTATTTCCTGACTGTTATGCTCTCTATGAATTGACCTTCGGGCAAGTGTATAGATTATTATTAATGCAAACTTCATTTTGATTTTACAATTCTGCAAATAAATGCCTCACTGAATGCCTTCTGTTGTATATTAACTATGTCATTTCAATTGGCTTTTCAAAATCCAATTATTCTGGAAAGATCTCCTGTTCTTGGTTCCCCCTTTGGTACTCTAGTTTTATTTCATGATGGAAACCACGGATCAATCTAGTTTGCTTCACTTGTAAACCTCTCCTTTATGCATTGGTCTATTGGCTGATCATGAAGTTGAGTTCCACTTACTTTTGTTCCCAGGGTTTCCAACTTCTGGTAAGATTCTACCATGCATATAGTTGTAGTAATTTGTCTATATTTGTCGATTGTCATTCCTAATCATTTGATGTGGATGTTAGCATTCACATATGTGATTACTGCACTTTATATTAGTGACAGAATCTGCTGTTCGGCTTTAGGTTGGATGTCTGCATAGGAAATCACTTTTTATCTTTCATTACCACTCACTCATTTTTTGTTAATTAACCGATTGCTTATTTCTATTTATATATCCTATATTCTTTTTTTATTTTCTTGCTCAAGCGATTGTTTATTGATATGATCAGGATACAAGGACAAAACATATTTATGTGCACTTATTTTATGTTTTGCTATGTCTGGAGTCCGACTCACTAGCTGTGCAATGCACATATTGATACCGTCAGGACAGTTTAGATACCTATTGCAATTAATGAGCCCATAAGATCAGTATACTTGTCCAGTTAGTAACTTAGAAGGTCATGATTGTTGAATAAAACACGAAATAAACAATTGAAAAGAATGGAATGATTATTGGGTTTGCTTCAAATCTTAAGCCCTAAACTGTCATCGAGTAATAAAGTCAATGGTTATATGTTTGATAGATTAATACATTTATTATTCTACCTCACTTTTTATTGTGAGATGAATAAAAATTAGCTAAACAATTCTCATGTTTGTTTTTTGGATGCAAAACAAAAAAAAATGAATAGAAAAAGATAAGATAATCATGAACTTGTCTTTAGTCTAGAGGCTCCATTAACAAAGTGATCAAAACTCCACTCTTTTTTTTTACTTCATGCTTTGTTATGGTTCGTCAATTGCAAACCCAACTCATCAAAATTTCAAAATTCTTTGAAATTTCCACTACTCAGTCTGCAACTATGATCTGCCCTATCTTTCTCCTATTTGATTTTTTTTTCTTTGCATTTGGGTTGCCCTTTTCAACCCAGTTTGTAAACTTTGCTAAATCTTTGGTCTGATTTACCAGCTTCATTTGTTCCCTTGGGTAGGAAGTCTGTTGTCTGTTTCTAAAACCCAAACTCTCTTATCCTTGGGGTGAGTTTTATTGATAGGTACTTGCTGGAGCAACAAGGTTATCTTTAAGGCAGTGAATCCTTCCAACACATGTAAGCTGCTTCCTGAGTTGCATGTGAAATCAATTTGTTTTCTCGTAATATCTGAATGAGCTTAACTATTTCTGGATATTTGTTTTTGAAGTTTAGGTGGATTTTGGCTGACATGGAAATCTGACCTAGTATGTATGTGGTAACCTGTATTTCTTCACAATAGAACTTCTTCATCTGGGACCCAATTAGTGCCTAGATTCACTGTGTTGATTCCTGGGAGAAAAAATGAGTCATGACCTTGTATGTTCTTGTTTTCCGTCAGGTGGTTGAATTTTGTGAAGTTTGTCTTGTATTTATGCAGGCTTCACTCTAAAAGTGTGAGAAAAGATGGCAGGATCTCATGAGCTTCGTACCCATGACAGTTTGGAGTGAAAGTGAAATCTTATAATCTTCCAATTTGAAAAGCATCGAATACATCGAGCTCCGATCTTTAGTTACTTTTCAAACAAAAATCAGTAATTAACAGGATTTAGTTTCATCTTTGTAAAATACTAGAGAAATGTAGTTTCACTGCAAAAGTTATATACTTCTACCAGAAAAACTGTAGAAGATACACAAAGGCTGAAATACACTGTTTTATGATCATACCTGCAATTTGATGGATAATAGAAAACCCCCACGCTAATTTCCTTCCATACTTCCATAATAAAGTGAATTCACCCTAGGGCAAAATAAAAGAATCGACATTGGAAGAGTCAAGGAAAGAAATACTAAGTGGAATGAACATCAATTTTGGAAGAACTCAGATTTTGCAATATTTTTGCAGAAATTGGGAATAAAGTTGGATACTTTTTACTCTGTTATAAGCCACCCAAAATAAGAAAAGACCTTGTTGATTGACTTGTGAAAGCGGGAAATAAAATTTTCCACGAGACTTATTCTACTGGCGTTTGAAGGTGAGTTTCCACAGAGGTTTAAATTCCACCACTACCACCCACCAGATTCCCCTCAAAAACCAAACACTCCACTAAGTTACATCACAACTTAACCGCCACTTTTCATCATTCACTCATCTCTTTCTTTCTCTCTCTCTCTCTCTCTCTCTCTCTCTCTCTCTCTCTCTCTCTCTAACCATGACAACGTTGGAGATCACTGTTGTGTCCGCTGAAGGTCTCAACCAACACTCTTCTTACTTCAACCGCATAAGACCCTTCTTCACTCTCACCAAGCTCCCCGCACAAATCCTCTACCACTACGACGGAGGAGGAACAGGGGATCACGTGTTCCGCGTCCCACTCGATCCAACCTTCTTCTCCGACACGTATTCCCGCCTCCATCTCCACCTCTACAACGACCGTCGCTTTGTGGGGCCCACGATCCTCGGATGGTGTCTGATTCCGCCCTCCGACATTGCCTTCCCACCCTCTCACTCCCTTCGCTACCTCAGTTATCGGTTACGGGCAAAAGACGGTTCCAAAACCCACCTCATCCTCAACCTTTCCCTCCGCTTCCAGGGCTCCCTCTACCAATCCCATCCCGCCACCTGTCAGTCTGTCATTGGAATTCCCGTCACAGCGCTTCGCAAATTTGGCAGCACCACCGCTGCCGCAACCGCAAGTGAACAATCCAATATGGAAAAGGACTTTTAATTTTCTTTTCTAGTTTTAGTTTTCCTTTTAAACAATAAAAATAATTAAAATTGTTGAACACACTTCACTTTGTAATTCGGTTTTTGAGCTTTTGGAGGTCAATGTCAATGTATCGTATATGCCATCCTGGTGTCCTGATATCTATCTCTTTATTCTCTTTCAGTTTATCCACATTTTTTTTTCCATTTTAGTCTTTTCTAGTTTGATTTCTAGCAATATAATTCTATAAGTTTTTTAAGTAATATATTGTGGGATTTTAATTTAGTTTTGTATATTACACAATATTATATTTGAATATATTTTGATAATTTTATTTAGAGAAAGGTACAAGAATTTTAAAAAGTAGCACATCATGTAAACGGGAGGTCAATTATATAGTAATTATTAATTATCCAAACCTGTAGTCGATGCTACATTATTTAATTTTAATTTACATATATATTTTAAATAGTGCGTATATTAACTTATTAATTATATTTTACTTTGACTATAAAAAAACAAGTTATAAAAATATAAGTTATTAATCAGATAGCTAAATTAGTGAATTCAGCTTTTATTGCAGATTAAATCGATAATGAGCTGATTAAATCTTGCAGTACAATTCAGATTCGTTATTTATGAGAGTATCAGTCTTCAATCCATGTAAAGAGAAATTAAAAGTCGTCCTAAAATCTCACCTCCGAAAATTCCATGAATTCGCTTATAAAATAGCATTAATAAAATATTTCAATAATGGATATGTTTTTTAAAAAAATATCCTTTTAAGTTCATTTTTCATTCCAAATTTAAATAAAAATCACACTTATTGCATCTTGAATGGATTGGGTTGATATTTAATGATTGATTTATACATATAATCCACCTTTAATGAATCACATATCTCTAATACCAACCCTTCATCATCCACTTCAATACGAAAATTAAGCAAAATTTTCTAATAAAGTAACTTACTACTTTTCAATCTAAAATATCAAAATGATAAATTTGTAGAAGCTTTTATATATTATTTATTTTATTCAATACAGGATTAACTCATAAAAAAAGTACTAAAGAATCGCTTTTACTTGGATAAAGTAATCATGGAAACATATTTTCTTCCTTTAGAGCATCAAAATAACACTTTACTCAGGACTAATTTTCCAAACTCCAAAGTTTATTTTAAAAAAAACAATTAATAATTTAGCTTTTATAATAGTATAATATTTTTTATTAAATTAATGTTGTTCTAAAGTATTATTGTTAAAATTTTGAATCAATTATATATCAAAATTTTAATTATATTTTAATTAAAAGTGCTCATGTATCAAAATAAAAAAAATTCCAAAATAATAAGTGATTTATATTTTGACTTTGCTGGTACTAATTGAACATAAACATTACATTAAACCGTTAAAGTTCCATTAAATTAAAATTAAATATAAAAATAAAAACTAATAATTATTAAAATAAAATTATAAAATTCCTTGTCCGTATGACATCATTTTGTCTCTATTTTTCATATTTATTATTATATAGATATTATATTGAAAAGTAGACTTTAAATTCAGTTTCACAAAATCAGATTATAGAATAAAATTTGTATCTCATTTGTATATTATAATTTAAATGATTTACAGTAGATAAGTCACATTATAGCGTGAAATTTTGAAATTGAGAATTGGAATCTTTAGCATTTGTCGTAAAAGATAACCACCAAAATTTTAGAAAAGGCTTATACAGAGAGGATGATGCAGACATCTTATTGTTAATCCTAACAGCCGCAACAACGCGAAAAATTTGGTGCAATATCACTCAAAAGCTTTCATCAATCAGGTCTATGGGTTTAAGAAAAAATGGTCAATAGGAAAAAAAAACACAAAGAATGAAAAAAGATATATTATATACACTTTAACTTTTGGTACAATTGTAAAAGTGAATATTAAAAGTTGTGTTCCTAGTATATACACGACTAATAATAGAGTATTGACAGGAAAATATATTTCTACATTCTTTTATATATTATATAAAAAATGATTATAAAAAAAATTATTTTTTGTATTTAAAAAAAAAAGATTAAAAATAATAAAAGATAATATCAAATGAAAATGAATGTAATTTTTGTTGTATTAAATATCATTATTGTTAATATTAAGGTTTTTGTTTGGGAGTTGCTATCATCTAAGGTCAAAATTAAGAGTGTTTCATCCTACACCTCCAAGATCTCATCCTGCACCTCCAAATATTCTACTTTTAATCTTCTGACATCACATCATCATCTTGCACCTCCAACTTTTTCAAAACTTTATTTTTAACTTTAATAAATATTTTTCCATTATACTATTATAAAAGCTAAATTATTAATTTTTTTTTTAAAATAAACTTTGGAGTTTGGAAAATTAGTCCTGAGTAAAGTGTTATTTTGATGCTCTAAAGGAAGAAAATATGTTTGCATGATTACTTTATCCAAGTAAAAGCGATTCTTTAGTACTTTTTATGAGTTAACCCTGTATTGAATAAAATAAATAATATATAAAAGCTTCTACAAATTTATTATTTTGATATTTTAGATTGAAAAGTAGTATGTTACTTTATTAGAAAATTTTGCTTAATTTTCGTATTGAAGTGGATGATGAAGGGTGTAAGACCCATGAAAAAGAAAATAATTATAGTAGTAAATTTTAGTATTTTATTAGTAATAATAATTTTAATGGATAGAAAAATGTAAATTTTGGATATAAAA